TGTGGTGCTGGGGGATTGAACCGCGGTCCCTGATGCTTTGCTAAGCTTGTTCTAAGTAGGTGCTTTAGACCACTGAGCCATCTCTTCAGCCCCTCAACCTGATGTTTTGATTCATGTGTGTGTTGGGTGATGATCAACTTAAGGTAATTAGCGTATCTGTCACCTTAAAATCTACATTGTTTAAATGATGAGTATATTAAAAATCTTTTGAATGTAATACATTATTTACATACATCCTATTTACTCATTATTTTAGTTGTTGTAGTTAGGTCTTTTAAAGACTTTACCTTATAATAGAAATATTCATGTATTTATTTTTTATTTTTTCCCATATTATGTATTTGATACAGGGTCTCACTAGGCAGCTTGGATTTGTAGTGTTCCTCCTGTTTTCAGCCTCCCCAGCACTGGGATAACAGGTGTGTGCCATCACACCTGGTCTCCTTGGCAGGCTCAATGTGCTCAGGGGCAGGGCTGATGCGGCATGTGGTACTTGTCCGCTGAGCTATCTTGTTGGCCCATGTTCATGTATTATTGAAAAAAAAAAAAAACAAAAAACCAACTTAAAGTATATTAACTTAGATACTTTCAGTTTACTTCCTATTTTTTAAAATTTTAGTTCTTATAATTTATGTATTAAGGTTTAGTAAAGCTTGTTGAGAAAGTAATTTAAAAAAAAGAGAAAGTAATTTTAAGGTAATTTTCATATTGCTAAATAATACTTGCATATATATATTTATTTATTATATATATATATTTTTTTTTACAGTTACTTGAAGGAAATTTTGCCAAAGAAGTCAGCCATGAAATGGATGGACTTATTTTTCAGCCTGTTGGAGTAAGTTTAGTTTCCTACCTTCAGTACACATAGATATATACAGAAAGTGCATATTCCTCAAACATACTTAACATGGGCTACTGCTGTGATCATTGCTTTCCCTTAAGATAAACTACTCACTAGGAAAGATTTCATTTATATCACAGTTTATATAATAATAAACTGAATACCTGTTTGCTTTTCACTCAGGTTAAAAAAAATTATTGGCCATTATTTTTCAAGGAAGTCATTAGTCTTTTAATATAATTACCTTTCTTATACTTCTTACAAAATAAATTATAATATATATTTCTTTACTAGCAGTTCTCTGATAATATTAAATACATCCTTACATCCTTTTGTGGCTTAGTACTATATATCTTTAAGTATTAATATTTTGGAAACTTCATTTTGCGGTAGGTAAAATTCAGAGTTGTTAGTTCTTGAAGAAAAATATTTCATGTTAAATTTTTGAAATGTACTGAAGAATTTTCATCAATTTAATGGTCAGATTGTATATTTACAGTAAGTTGTCCTTACTCTATAACTGAACCTCTTCAGTCTCAGCATCATTTATATGCTAGACTTGATAATTCTTTGCCATCTTGTGCATGGTAGGATATTTAGCAGCAGGCTTGGCCTCTACTTTCCAGATGCCAGTTAAGTACTTGTTCTTTGTCCCCACTTTTTTTTTTTTTAATATTTATTTCTTTTTTATTGAGAAATAAATATGAATGAGACAGTTTCACAGTTGATTAATAGGACAGTTTTGATAGTCAATATACTGTACATTGTTTTCTTCTTAGTTGTCCCCACTTGTTAATCAGTGTTCTATAAAATAGGACAGTTTTGATAGTCAATACACTGTACATTGTTATCTTCTTAGTTGTCCCCACTTGTTAACCAGTGTTCTATAAAATAATGTTTTTCAAAGTGTAGCAGTCAGAGAATTAGTAGTGTGAGAAAGTTGTTAGTGATGGAACACACCTCAAGTGTATTGGTTAGAAAATTTAAAAGGGGTTAGGGGAAAAATAGGTAGAAGGGGAAGAGATTAGAAGTAAGACTGGAGGACAAAGAGAGGTCGCAGTAATGTTGGGAAACTGGTACAGAAGACCGAAAGGAAAGAGAGAAAGAAGAGGTAAAAAGAACAGAACAGAAACAACCACAAAGAGACTGGAAAGTACCTTCACGCTCATAAAAACAAGATCACACTATAGGGAAAAATAAAAATAAACACAAAGCCATTATATGAGAGAGAGAGAGAGAGACAGACAGACAGACAGACAGACAGAGACAGAGAGACATAGAGAGAAAGACAGACAGAGAGACAGACAGACAGAGACAGAGGAGTCCACTTTCAGGTATATTTCTGTTGTCACTTATAGATATAATGTATAGAGACAGAGTCCAGATATCTGTGTTGATTTATTCCAGCAAGCTAGGAGTAGCATTTTGGTGGGGTAGTAGATAGACTACACCTTCTGGTGAAGACCAGACTCATTTTCCCAGGAGCTGACATCAGTGTACCTTCCATGGGCTTGAGCCCAGCTGGGACCTGCTAGATGGAGCCAGCAGCTACTCTGAGTTCTTAGCTCAGGCAGCTCCTCTCCAGGATGGCTCCTGGCCAATCGCTGTCTCATGCAGGACTAAGCCTTCAGCACTCACTGCCAGCTAGTGCAATCCTTCATGTCTGTTGCTTCCCTCCACTGCTACATCACTCTGTGAAGACCTCGGGTTGTCAGCAGTCGTCATGTGTCTACAGGTTTGAATTGCTCCTCTTGTGTAGTGAGTTCTGTCTTGGAAAAGGTGCCTGTGGTTACCTCCTCCTTTGTTAAGTTTTTCTAACACTTTCTGTGTGGGCTTCAGTTCATGCTTCAGATCCTTCCTGGGTACAGGGCACTTACCACCTCCTCCTCCTTCTCCTCCTCCTCATGATGCTATATTCCATTGTTCGGATGGCAATACTCAGGCTTTTTCTCTGCTGGATACCACTCCTCTGTCTTGGTCCCTTACCGTTTGTATTCTAGTAACTACATTTTTTTTTTTTTTTTTTTTTTTTAAAGTTATAGGAAATCTTTGTAGTTGATGTCTGGCAAAGTAAGTCTCCTTGTTTGCCAGGAGTTTTAAAAAAAATATATGTAAACATTTGGTTTGATATAAAAGTTGCAGAATCAGTTTGTCCTATGACCCAAAAATTCTTGTCTGAATAGCTTTGAATTTAATTTGGAGAAAAGGCAACATCTTCTAATGAATAAATTATGGTTTATTTCCAGGTATTTTGGAGACAATACCTTTGTCTTCCCAGGTATTTTTCTCTTTTTCTGCCTTTTTTTTTTTTTTTTTTTCTGTTAAGATAATTTCTAGACTTCTTTTTTGTTTTTAAAGTCAGTGGTGTCTTCTCTTTATTTGGTATTTCTAGTGTTCTGCTACATTATTATTTTATTGATTGAATAGTCATGCTGAGTAGTCTTAATTCTAGTTTTAGACATTGACCAGGACTTCTAGTCTTTTTTTTTCTTTCTTTTAAAAAAATATATGTTTAGTATAGAGTCTACAGTGTCTCACTACATCGGTGGGACTTGCAGTGATCCTCTTGTTTTCAGCCCTCCAAGTGCTGGGATTACAAGCATGTACCACCATGCCCAGTCTCAATTGCTGCCTCGGCATGCCCTGGGGGTGGGGCAGCATGGCAGCATACTGGGCATTGAGCCCCGGGTGCTTTAGTCTGCTGAGCTATCTGGCCAGCCCAGGACCTCTAGTCTTAATAAATATTATTGTAATTTGAATGTAGACAAAGATAGTTATGCTTTGTTTTCAGTCTCCAATGGAAGGTAATGTTTCTAAATTTTCCTTAAAGTGATTTCCCTCAAAGGGAAGGTATCTTAGTTACTTTTCTTGTTGCTGAGACAAAATACTCAACACTCAGAGTTAACGGGGGTAAGGCCTATTTTATTAGGCTTACATTTTTAGAGGTTTCAGTCCATAATTGGCTGGCTCCAAGGTAGGGTGGCGTGGCAGACAGGTATCAAAGAGAAACAGTTAATGGTGGGCAGAAGGTAGCAAAATGGAAAGTGGGGGACAAGAGAAGCCCTTTCTGTCTCTTATATCCAGGCCAGCTGGGTTAGGGCATGCCAAACCAACCAGTGGGCTGATTTTAGTAATCACCCACTCTTAAGTTAAGTTGAGCACCTTTAATCCCAGCATTGCACCATGAGTTAATCATATACTCTAGATTCTGTCATCTCTAGAAAAGGGCATCTAAACACAAGCCATAACAGAAGGTAATATTCCTAAATTTTCTCCTTTTACTATATTTGTGGGAGATCTCATTTTCAGTCACTTAGAATTTTTTTTTCGGAGCATTGAATTAAACCCTTTTAAGATGTTTTTTCTGTATCTGTTGAAAGTATGCCATTTTCTTTTCTATGCTATGTATGTAATCACATTGATTATTGTCCTGTTGGTCTATCTTTATGTTCCTGAGATAAAGGCTACTTCATTAAAATATGAGAGATATGATTAAAATACATGACAAATGTTTAAATTTAAAGAGTTACTACAGTAAAAGTCATGTTGACATTAATCCCCTTTAAGATACTCCCCCTGCGTCACTGTTGCTGAACCTCGGCTGAGCTGTGGCTGCCTTTCCTGTCATACAAGATAGGTGATCCCAGGACAGCTGTGGGGAGCTGGTGAGCCTTGTAAAAGTCTCCCAACCCCCACCCCAATTCCAGAGCTTGGCTGAGCTGCAAATGCCTCTCCAGTTGATATCACAGTTCTGCTTTGTGGCTGCCTCTCCCACTTTTAGTGGGAGCCTTGGTGAGTCCTACCTTGCCTACCCCACCATAGCAAGAGCATCACAAAGCTATGGCCTTCCCCCATCATCAGAGCCTTCTGGAGCTCCAGCTTACCCCCCTCCCTCACTGAGGCCGAAGCCACTTTGAACCCCACACAGTGGGAGCTTTAGTGATCCAACTCTGCCCTCCTGCTATCATGGGAGCCTTGCTAAGCCCTCCACCACCCCTCTACCATTGCTGCTAAGTCCAGGTAAACATTGGGAAGTTAAAAAATGTCAGCATGAAGGAGCAAAAGGAAATCTCAAGACCTCCACCCCACCCGGAACAAGTCCAGGAGACAAGGTCATAGAAGAACTTGGAAGTCACACAGCTGAAATTTCTGAAATGATAGCAACTGAAGTAAAGAAACAACTCTGCCAGGCTAAAAAGAAATCAAATGAGAAATCTCTCAGGTAAAAAAAAATATCTAATAGTCATGATATAGTTGTTCAGCCCATTTAAAGAAACCATAGATAAAAAAGAAATGGAAATAGGAAATTGATAGAAACATTGAACAAATAATACAGGAAAGAACTAGAATGCACGAAACAGATTCAAACATATATCTAGGAAATTAAGAATTCCATTGAAAACTAGCAAAACCACTTGAACAATACTGAAGATAGAATTTCAGACTTTGAAGATAGCATTGCAGCTAGTGAACATGGATCTTTCAAAAATAGCAAGGGATCAAGAAATAACAATGCAACAGCTGTACGCTAATGCAAAGAAAAACAATGTAAGACTCATAGGTGTTAACAAAACAGCAGGAGTCAACACTAATAATATAAAAAGACTTATTTACAAGGTTATGAGGTTGTAGGAGAAAATTTCCCAAGCATGGGGAAAAAAATCTGATCTTCTGATAGGTGAGGCCTACAGAACTCCAATTAACCATAATCAAAGTAAAACTACACCCAGACACATAAGATCCCAAAAGTCAGAAAAAAAACCAGACTATTAAAAGCTGTTAAAGGAAAGAAACATATCACCTTTAACAGAAGATCCATTAGAATGATGGTATCTATTTCTTAACAGAAACCATCACATCAAGAAGAACTTGGAATGAAATAGTTGAGGTCCTGAAAGAAAACAACTTCCAACCCAGATTGAGGTACCCTGCAGAACTATCAAATTTAATGGTGAGATAAGATACTTCTATGACAACAACTGAAGAAATTAATG